ATGTCCAATGATACTGCCTGCTAGGCTACGTCTGTATCGAAATTGATCTTATTTAAATTTTTGATTCTAGACGAATGATTAGTGGAGCAAACAACAGAGTGACAGCTGAGCGAATTATTGTTGTTTTATTCGTAATATTTACACCGTATGAAAGAGGGATCATAAATAAGCGGAAACAACAAACAACCTGTAGTAAATAAAGGATGGAATGAATAAAATTTTAGAAAAACGCATATTATGAGTGGATAGATAGAAAATGCTCATCCGCAGATAACAAACATATTGAAGATAACGAACATACTCAGATGAGTTTAGGAGAATACGATTTTCTCAAGGATCAATTGCTAACCTATCGCCAATTGTAAGTGAGTGGGAAACTCGTGTGAAACTCTATTTCGATCGCTGGTGAATTTTCGAAGTTTTCCTGCTCATTGAAGTGAAAGCTCGCTATTTTTTTCAGCTAAAACCTGGAACTGATCAGATCATTCATTGAACAACTTCACCATTCGAAATGATCGATTGCCAATCCATTCTGTAATTGGACAGCCTCAGTGAAAGGCGAATGCTTCATAGCGCTTCTTTTTCCAGACAACTGAATAAAAACCAATAAGAAAAGATCGAAACTGATTCAGTTATTTCACCAATATGCTAACAAATAAGATAGCTGAAATAATTTGTATTATTTGTATGCTAACAGTTGATAGTAATGCAATTGTGATGCGTGATACGTCTATATAAACAGGACATAAAATTTCAGTTGTTTTCATAACGTGCTACATTCAAACCACTATTATTGTTGTCATTACGAGATTCGTTCAGAAATACTTTTGCTTCATTTGTTACGAGTTTTCGTCGAGATGTGCAAGCCTAAACATAAATACATTCCAGTGAACGTATAAACAAGATAAGTAGTTACTAGTAAATGAATAGAACAGTTTCAGAAGCCAGAAATGCTTAAAGAGGTTAAGCAAGTGTCAAAAGAAGAGAATACACCCAATGAACTTGAGTAAGATCAGAACCGATGGTATCGATCAATTTATGTCAACGGCATCTTCAATCAGTTCATTCATTGCGGAAATGCTACAAGAACTCGTAGACACCGCACTTTTTAAAGTGAAAATTGTGATGAATGACACTCAACAACGACACGAATAAAGAAAGTTTGAGAACTTGAGGAATTCAGTAGGAAAGATGTTTTCTGACAACAGTCAACGAAAATATTATAAGAACGAACAGACAAGACTTGAGAGTTGCAAGAGTAATCAACAACAGAAACGATGATGGCAATAATGGCTATCAGCTGAAAGCAATGGTTGTCATTAGTTATGAAAAAACGTGAATTCGATGGGAAGAAAGAATGATTTTAAAGATGGGAATGCTTGGAAATTTCGTGATAAGACTCGTTAGAATTTCTTGATACAACGAAAGCATTTGAATTATAAAAAAAGACAGACTTTCAACTTGAGTTGATCGATGCCATATGCAAAAAACCTCTAATCAATTTAGTTTTTTATTCGATTCAGCCATACGGATTGAAGAAATGCGATTACGAAAAAACTTTCCGCAGCACTATCAATTTGTCCAGTTTTTTCTTCTCTAGCGGAATCTACTCGAAAAACTATCATCACCACCAGCGATTATTTAATCGAGTTCATTTTTGATTTTCGATGTAGAGCTGGTTGGTTGAAAAAAGAATTGATCACTACTTCAACGAAAGAACCGACTGAAAAAATCGCGATTCAGCTGTCGGCAATTAAGTGGATGGAGTAATTTTGAAGATGACAACGGATCATCATTGAAAAAAACGATGGGGCGAAAACCAGAGATTACCTGAAAATTGAGAATTGCCATATGAAAGAATTGGCAACTGTGAATCCAGAAAAAGGTCTGGTCCAATCTAATAGGTCTGTGGCAGTTCAGCAGTAGAGTTTGTCGTAATTCGAGGATACATGCATCAATGGGGGAATATTTGATAAGTCGGGCAAAGCTAACAGCGATGAAAATTGATGTTCAGTTGAGTTCAATCACCGAATAACTGCCATTAGCCATAATCATTGGTTAGAATGGAGTAACAAAAAGGGAAAATTCCAAACCAGTAGAGCGATATGTTAGGAAATTAAGGAATCGCAAGCCGAAAGCATGGTGCACAACTAATGTTTGAAAAGATTTGATCAACGAATATGTACAATAAGACGAGTATCCGCAACTACTATAAGACTGAATGAGTTATTGAAGAGGGTCACTTAAACAATCATCCAAAATTACTCATCGAATTAGAGTTTACTTAAGATGTGTTACATATTTCATTGAGCTGATATTATGGATGTAAATACTTATAGTAACAAGATATATGACAATGATAAAGTTGTCTTAAAGACGTGCGCCATGTCGGCGCCAACGTTAAAATATCATTCGATCAACTCGCTGAACGAATCAAGCATTAATCACTTCATTATAATCAGTACTAGCATCAATCATTATTTATGTGCTTATTTGACTATAACAAGACAGACAGACGAACTTCGATTTCAAGTTGACTTTACTTACAATTAGCAACAGAAACTGTCAGAGCAGCGTTGCTGTTTCTTTGCTACTGCTAACCGTTATGATCGATGTTTGCAAAATATCGACCATTTTCTCAATGCTGAGATCCGTATCAATACCGGTATCGTTTTTCAATACCGATACAATACCGGCACTGAAAAGTAACTTTTGAAATATGGAAATGTGACTTGTTCAGCACATTCTTTTGAGCCAAAGTGTTCATAACTATTCAGAAAACAATTTATCTAACAAATCACTCACCAAAGCTCAAGAAATTCAACAAAAAATACAACAAAAAACCAAAATGGATATGATTCACACTCCAGTCGTGATGGATATACCTCCAAATTCACTTAAAATGTCTTGTGATATGAGTACCGGAAATACCGTGATACCGGTATTCAGTATTACCGAGATCTTGTGCAAACACTAGATATGATAACGATAACGAGCAAATATGAATATTATTGATGATCACATATATAAGTGTCAATAGCATCCAGTAGAAATGATATAATAATAATTGTAAAATCTTCACCATTGCCGTACGAATTCAAGCAACTTCGCGGTTTGTTTTTAAACAAAAATGCGACTCAAAGATGAGTAATGCAGATCGCAAGGTTTGACTAACGATCATCTCCTAAGGCACAATATCGTTATCGTTTGTTTACGGCTCAAGCGATCGTAATTTTACAATCATTTCACCGCTAAAAACATCGATTAAGAGAACAAAACCTTCTCATTATCTCATGACACAATAACAAAATTTAACAAACCTTCTCACACAAACAACTCAGAATTGGAACAGTTTAACAAACCGATGAACAGTTTAATGGAATCGAGCGACTGTCAAGATCAGACTCACTCAGATGATGTTCAGTGCTTGTAAATAATTTATTTTGCTCAATTGCTTAACCGAAGTGAAATACTTAAAAGTGAATGAAGTAAATGCACACAAAAAGGAATTAATCTCATTTTCTTGTGAATGAATCAATGGGATATATTGATAAGAGAGCAGTTGTGAGAAAACGAGCGCTGAGCAGTGATCATCGTGAATCGATGATCTATTAGTGAATGGGTGAAAAAATGACAATCAATAGGTGATTCGGAAAAAATTAAACACATCCTCCAACAAGCGGATGAACAACTTGTCGGAATTTGAAAGTCTGACTGTGAGCCAAAAGGAATCAATCTTTCGGCGGCACTCTTTTCGGCACGAGATTGACACCCTCATTTGGCCTAGACAGGCAGAGATTAAGCCGGAAAATTCAGTAAGATCTTTGCGTTCCGAACATACCGAAATGATGGCGTCAGAAGCGCGACACCGAAATGAACGACGTCCCAAACGAATCATGAGAATGCTAAATAAGTATCCGACACGAGATACAAGAAGATGAACGAACGTTTTCTAAACTGCGCTTAGAGAACGAGATTGAGACGCGCACAATTGATCTGTACCGATAACATAAAGGTGGCAGCTGTCCATTAGATAATTTAATAATTAAATCAACGAATAAAGTCAATGTTGACCTTCACCCGTTCGAAATAACGCTTGCAGAATTCTCCCTATGCCTTTCGTGACCATTCTTTATCACCAGGAAATTGACGAACTTTTGGCGGAAGTTTGCTTACTTCTAATCACAACACTTTTTATCATTACACCTATTTTGTTGCTTCGATAAATCTTTCAGAACGGAACGATAAACAATGAACTGAGCACTGCTTGAAAAACAGCATATGTCAATCACATTCCGTGAATTTCCGTGCGTTTCTGTTTACTCAGTAGTGAGAGATGATAATCGCAATTAATCATTCTCCTCTCGTCAAGATTAATCATTCTTATGCAAGCTTGATCCCAAATGAGAAGTTGAAACTGTATCTGTCTGTCAGCAAATGACCTCTAGACCAGTGGTTCTCATATGTGGTGAAATTGTCCATTTTGGGTAATTTGAGTGTATTGGAGGAATAGAACGGAGGGGGTCGGGGATTTAATATTTTGTGGAGTCGTTAGTTGTCATAGAACGTCGTTGTGGTGTATTTTTCTTCAAACGAGGTAAAAGGCGATCGATTTAACGGATAATCACAGCTTCGGACATGTTTAAAACTTAGGGATCTGTGTAGGTACTAAATTTATGGTCACTCCTGTTTACTGCGGCTTTCTTGTGGTAAATACTCTCTTTCATCGCAAATGGATGCTTACTTCTTACATGAAAATGCTCATTGTACACTGTTGGTAACAGTCTCATTTATTCAGAACGCGATCGATCATTTAGTGATAATTGCTGCACATTTCTCCATTTACGCTTGTTGAAGGTTTATTATGAAATAGATATTCAGCTTGTTAGTGTTATTTATCACAATTGCATTGATTTATATTATGGTTGAATATTAGCGATAAATACTGAACATTAATATCAATATTGGTGATTACGCGTTAGTGATAATGAGGAACTCATTTATTTGTTGTGATTTCTGCACAACACAAGGAACTCATTGACTGCAGGACCACTGACGGCACTGTCTTTGCCACCGAATCCTGCAGTTGCTTTCTCCATTCCCACGTGCAAGTTTCCGAGTCGCTCCGTACCTTTGCTGTCCTTCAGCAAGCAAGGTACGCATTCACCAACATGTAATGGCTTGAATTCACCAGCTCCACCCCTGACATCTTTGTACGGTAACCATTTGTATTCGAATCCAAGCTGAAAATCGACCACAATTCATCATTATATGATTCACATGGATAACTGCTATGTGTAACATTTTAGACCTTACTTTAATCGCAGAACATTCACAACACTGAAAGCGTCACGTATTGACGAGAGCCAATCTTGTGAACCAAGCTATGCAGCTTCAACCACCGTTTTTACGGAGTTTTGAAATATTTCTTCTTCGCTACCAATTCAAACGTGTCTCATAGCATCCGATGAAGTTATTTCAAAATGGCGAAAGATAATGGGTTTGATTTATGAGTAGATGTGCTTACAATATCCGGATCGGGCACGACAATCATCTGGAATGAACCAATTTCCGTGCCGGCATTCTCCTGACCGTTCCATCCAAAGCTTGCCAGCGTTTTATCGGCAGGATCGGGGAACGCACGTCCAAATACGGGTTGTCCGTGCTTATACCATAGAGCAACATACTGGAACATCTCAGTGCCGTCGTCGTTTCTCACCTTACGCCCAGCTGCCTAAATCCGTCACAATTTGCGAACTGCAATCGCACCATCAGACATCTGCATGTTCACTTGCGATGCCTAAACGAAATTCAATGATGTGATCGCCCGAGATGTGATCAAATGTCATTGCATGATTTGCTCATTGGGTTAATCTAGTCAGCAGGCATCAACAATGCCTTTGGGGACCACATTTGTGGAGCAAAGATTCACGTACCGCTACAGGATTCTTTGCAGCTGGGAATGGATCACGGTATTTCAGATCCAGCCAGGTATCGTCGTATATTTTGATTCCTCTCGGTGGCGCTTTAATATTGCGGAATAGCACTAACAATTCCTTAAAAACACTAATTGTCATCTTCAAACCATTCGTAATGTTATGAAATTTTTCGTGATTAGCATCTTGAAGACACATTCCAACATGCCTATCGCCAAACTGAGTTTCTCAAGCGGTAAAACTCACTGAATTGTGATTACTTTTGAGTTTCCACTGAAGATGGATCAAATAAGCTAAAACAGTGCATGTAATAGATCATTTCACCCCCCTCAAAACGATTTTGTTAGCATCTTCGATTTTTTTTAGCATTTCTCCTATTCAAGTTTCCACACTAGAGTACTGACCTGGATATCACCTCCAGCAAGCTTCTCACTCTTACCATTATAACCAACAGCTGCCTCTTCAGTGCCCATATCGATATAGCCAAGCAGATCTTTGCCGTCTTTTGTCTTCATTAAGACTGGCGTTGACTGGCCACATCGTACCAGTTGCAGTAGTGTATCATTAACACGATCTTTGTACGGTCTCCATTCGTACCAGAAACCGGATTTCTTGAATTGGTCCAAAGGATCTTGCTCAACTGCGGTCAGGATTTGAATTTGTCCACCCAAGTCACGAGCACCGGTCAGCTCGACCTGAATTTGAGTGGTTATGACTGCAGGATAATCATCAATGATACAGCAGCATATTTAGTGATTAGCATGCTCTAGATTACCAACCCGAAAATGTTCATATCAGAAAAAACAATACGCGAACCTTGCTGTAGGGAAACGAGCATTCCACGTTTCCGTTGTTGTTCCATGCACGTCCGTGAATTGGCTTCCCGAATTTATACCATAACGCTACGTACATATTCTGTTGTCCCTTCACCCTAACCGGATTGTCCGGAAACGGCGACCCGATCGTGTTATACGCCCACGTATCCTCGAACTCCTTGGTCATCCCGAAACCTGCGCCCAACGATGAAGTTGAAATCAAAATGATTCATAGAGCTAACTCCTAGCTTTTATAGCTGAAATTATGCGCTGAAATTTTACATATTCAAATTTTTGGACAACTTTCGAACTTAAAAATTACATATTTTATGGTTAAAATTATCATTTCAGATGGTAGACGAGATCCGACTTTTGCATAAGTAATCACTCAACAACTCGATGGTCACTAAATGAATAATCGGGTATCGTTAGCACTTTATGAGTACTAATGATTGATATCGTTAGCTGTGTGAAAAGTGACAAGGATGTCAATGGTGAATGAACAGTGTATTACTATGATCTTGACTGTCCCCAAATTTCAATGGTTTTACGGCGATTTCATTGTTATAGTCTATTTCGACGGCGTTCTGCTTTCACAAATCAAAACTGTCGTTATCGAAATTGCTAGCGATTACGCAACGTTCGATATCAGTTTGGATACGTCAACGATATCAGTCCTCCACTTGAGGATGTATTAAATACATCAGTAGAACTCGAAATGGACTCTGAAAAGGAATAGCTCTGTATTTCTTGCGAATTTCCCTAAATGTACTTTCAAAAAATAATGCCACTGATCATGAGCGGAAAATTCATTTCGCCGTCCTCAATTGTACAAATTAATCGTATCGAATATTCACATAATTTCATACCAACGGAATCCAACGCAGTCCACACACAAGACTTCATTCAATTCGCTGAATACTTTGTGAGATATTTCAGAACGAAACAATTCAGTTGATAGCGATATTATTTTATTCAGCGAATGAGCATTCTTCAAATACAGTCAACGAACGGTATATGCGAGGAAAGAGGCGCGACAAGAGATCAATTGTAGATATTGAATTCAGATTTTGCATTCGGAAGTTATCAAAAGGCGTTTCAAAAATCCTTAAACAGAAAAAATCCGGGAAGGATAGCCCCACCAATGCTGGTGAGATATGCGACTCGACCGAAAAGCTCGAGAAATTTATAACGTAATAGGGCACTGACAAGAATCGATCAAAGTTCGAATATGATTCGCATATATCCCTAAATGACGATATTTATTTGGATGCGCAACACTGAATAAATGAAATACGTCAACTAAATTTTACTGAAGAAACACTTCAATCAGCTCAAATCATGAATATAATGGCAAAAAATGGTGTCTGACGTGGCGTATTTTTGAAATACGTAAGCATCAATCAGATAGCTTGAGTATCATCGCGATCTTTGCGGCACAGAACCTGAAAGAACAATCAATGACAATATTTATTTGGGTGCATACCACTCGAGATTCATGAATCAAAATTTTTTGCAATATTTCCATCGACACCGTTAAGCATCTTTAATAATCGCAAGATCAAGTCTCATCAATTGATCATCGTTATACGACTGACGCAATTTATGGACCACAATAAGGTAGGTTTATGACAAAGGAGGTTTGAATGTTTCGAGGCAACCAATTGAACCAGTCTACTTTAAATTCCGAAATAGCGCCTCCTTCAAGTCGGAAAACTTTGTTGTCGAGAACGGTTTGTGCGTATTCTTCTCTCAAATTTGCTTCACCTGAAAATTATAGTCTTGCCTTATTTCAGCTGTAATCGAAACAAGATGTTAATTATGAGATAATTCTGGTCGACTTTGAGCCATGAAAAGGTCAGTTGCAGACTTTGATAAGTCTTCATGTAGAGATTCATAAATGAGTAATCTGACCGAGACATTCATGTCCTTCCTTGTCGATGATGAGTACACACGGTGCAACAAACGCGATATGTACAGGATGCCATTCCTTTTCACCAATAACCGCCGCCTTACGATACGAAACCCAACTATAATCGAAGCCAGCCGCGGCCGGAGGGATTTGCACGAGTAGCTGTAGCGATCCCACATTTCCCGAGAACACTTTCTTTTTGCTGAAACATTCCCCTTTCTAAAGTCCAATACTGGCAGGGATACATCGTCGCAGCTCTGCGAAAAGCCTTGCATCACATCACCTACAACTTGCTAAAGTTCTAGAACCATTTTTGATCACAGAAGTAATTCCTCACAATCACAATGATTTTCAAGAGGAAGCGAACGTTATTTGCGATATTGATGCCACCAATTTGCATAGTGTTCACTGTTTTATCCATTTATTTAGTACGTCAACAAATTTCGGGTGCAACAACGATGCGTAACCAATATCGGACACCGACCGCATCAATGGAACTGAAACGGAAACCTTGCGAATGCGGCTGCAATTTTGCCCTTTTCTGACCACGCACGACCCATGACAGCATTACCGAAGTGGTACCACAACGCAACGTACTGTTCTTGTGGACCATCTTTTGTGTTCAGCGGACGGTTCAATGCTTTGATCAAACGTTTTGAAACTGGAAACGTGTCACCGGTGCGGAAATCGGTCCATTCATTAACCATCAACAACGGCGGTGGAGTGGCCTATCAATCATCTCTTAATTAATTCTGTCTAGTAGCAAATATTCAGAGAATATAATTTTTATAAACAATAATACCTTTTCAGTCTCTCTTCTTCGTTCGCATTCAACACATCGACACTGTGATGGACCGTCTTTGGTGTTACGTACAAGAATAAACATTTCTTTGAGTTCATCTCCTTTTAATGTTTGAATCTCCTTTCCATTCGATACGATCGCAGTTCGCTTTTGAAAATCCAACGTTCCGAGTGATCCCTTTTCAGAGCATGCGAGTGGTACTGCGTCACCGCAACGTAACGGCACTCGTGAGTCACTTTTTTCTTCTGACAAATATTCCGAATATTTGATCCATTCGTAGAAAAATCCCTTTGACAAATGGTTACCTTCATAGGTCAGTACCTAAAATCGTTCACGTTCAGTATCATTGCCTTTTACCACTTCATAAACGCTTCATTTCCTGTATTCTTGGATCGCTGTATTGTTGATTTTGGTTGTCAACACTCGTCAATGTATCCAGTAAATAGTACATGCTATAGAATAAGAAGTTTATTCGAACTGTGAAGTGAAATGAGACGAAGTGAATGATAAAAAGTCATCAACAGAACTATTTTCGCATGTAATAGTTATGAGAGTGAATACAACACTTCTGCAAAGAATGAGAATCCATTTAAAACAGTTTGAAGTGAGCGTGTCATGGACAGTAGCTTTTCATGCAATCATAATCGATTGTAATAATAAGCATCACAACGGTTTAGCTTAAGGTTGATCGAATTTCTTAGATTTATTAGCGATTTTAACATCATTTGTTGGGACATGAACTGAGAATCAGTGCGATTTTACTTAACTCTGCACATTTTACGGAATGTTGTGTAATAATATATTTGAAGAAGTGAATCAAACCTGAATGTCGCCAATATCAGGTCCTTTCAATTCGTGGCCTTCAGAAGGGAAGGCACACTGAAAATGAAATCAAGTTGAATAATGTTATAAAAATAGATTCTCTCGAGATGGAATGTTCAATTTTTTCAACAAAATCAACATTCTTCCGCTGCAATCAACGTTTTTAGGTGAGCATAATTATGAACCGAAGAGTAGTCACTAAAAGGATGTTTGCACGATCGACCTGAACAACTCCGCTGTCGTTCCATGCCCTTCCGATTAATGCTTTTCCGTTTTTGTGGCATAACGCAACGTAAACGTTCTGTTGAACCGGTCCTTTCACCGGATTTTTCGGGAACGGAGTTCCAATCGCTTGAACTGTCCAGGTATCGAGGTCGGCTGGAACCTGGAATCGCCATCATTCGAGGCGTTGCAGCAGTGTTTAGGAATGAATGGAAACCATACTGGCACGTGCGAGCAATTAACAGGTAGGTCAGCACGTTACCATGATATCTACAATTATAACTGATCATTTCATAGCTCTAGTGAAAGAGTCCAACTTAAAGCTCCCGGACTGATCAGTTACAATTACAAACAACACCACTCTGAGGCGATGAGTAACGTCGTTGAAAATTCACAGTTTGTAAGTACTGGTAAAGACAAGGATGGCAGCGAAGATACACAACAACGCTCAGTCAGTATCCATCCATAAAGGGGTATATCCAGGAATGAGACAGGTACTGAATAGCCTTCATCTGTCGCGATTCAACAGCTCATCGCACCACACCCTTTCCGTAACAAACCGATGCAGAACTGTTATGCAGCAAAACAGATCTGGTCGATCTAACAATGGTCGCGATATGACCACCGCAATCATCATTCCAATCAAAAGGCTCAGACAGTCCTTCTTGAAAAATGAAACAATATCATGAAGGCATTCAGCACAACCCATCGACGAATTCGTTCACCTTGTTGGGCATAACGATAACTTCCTTAAGCGGCGATCTGCTGGCTTCGATGCCCACTCCAAACGCAATAAATTTCTGAAAATGCTCAATTCCCAAAACACTGCCCTTTTATAGTACAACCTGATGCAAATTCATCAGCAATTTCACAGTTGTTTCGCATTCGTCACAGTGTGTTTTCACAATGCAAATTTCAATGATATTTGGTAATTTTACGTCATAGTGCCACATTTATTCAAATATTATTACTTTGTCTGCGGGATTTTAAGAAAATGTCGGGATCTGTAATTGAATATTGAATCTTTACTTGAGTGTTTTATGCTGAAGGTTCATGCTGAACTACTTGCTTCAAGAGACCACTCGGTCATCGGTCTGTCAATCCTCATTGATCAATTTGTTCTATCGGTAATATTATTGATACAGCGCAAGGGGAACACCTAAAGTCGTATAACTTTTGAGCCTCAGATGCGATTTTCATCAGTGTACGCATTCGCAAATAAGGATGTAGATCGTTGGAAAACTGATTTGACTACGCAATGAAATTCGACGGAAAAGTTGAACGTCACTCAATGTGTTCGATTGCATTATTATATTAAAATTCACATCAGGGGCCTACGAAGAGAGGATGGAGTGATAGAGACGATACATCGAACGTTGTTCAATTGACCAATCACCATTCTCAGGCTATTTTTTTAAAGACTGACAGTTCCATATCCACTACTATGGTTGTATTCATTTATCGACTCCAATTCAGCAACATTACTGCAAAGAGTTGGGCACAAATTACGTTTCGAAAACACAAAGGTAATACGCTAAAACTTAATCAAATACTATCAGCGCTGGGCAAAAAATATGCAATTGGACGAGCTCATAAAAATTTTATTAATTGCGAGTGAATTTAAGATCGCAATCGCTTGATAACTCAATTTTAAAACTAATTTATTTTCGGAAACATCAGATGGTTTCACCTGAATCGAAAATTTTTAATGCATATATGCAGAACATGATTTTCCTTTGGGGATTCGCTCGATATTAATTCATCTTACTCACTACTGCTAACTGAAGAAGCCAATCTCATAGCATTTCAGGTTAAAAAACTACACAATATTGATCTAATCGATCCAAAGCGATCAATAATCGACCATGGCTTATGATATCATCGATCGTGGCTTAGCACCTAAACGAAGTGGATATCGCGCTCGACAAACTCCTAACACAGCTACAAGCAAATAACATCGTTGTCCACCCGTCAAATCCAAACTGTGTAATCGTCAAACTGTCCGGATCGCGATGATTATCATTAGGTCACTGTGAATAACCAACCATAGCACACTTCTCCAATAAAACACGCTCTCTCAATCGTACTCGTCATGCACCCACTTCCACTGCACGGCCACTCAATCACTCTCGGTAAGAACATCACAAAAACATCGTTGTCGTGGAGAAAACCGTCGCAGTAGTGAAGATAATTTACAGGAGTCATCTCCTTCACTACATAGGAATAATTTTGAAGATATGCCTCCATTTTCACGGTCTCCTCTCAACAATTACACGAGCTTCGCCCGTTGACCACCACAAAAAGATGACCCGTCACCATAATTCGGGATCTTCAAAGGTGACCTCAAATTTTGGTGAACAGGTCATGGAACAAGCGGTAAAAAACTTTATTCAACGTTGTGAAAAATATCATTCAACGATGTGAAAAATACAACAAGTGAACAACGAAAAACAAAGCATCACAGGGATTTTCAGGGACTACCTTAGTGAGTTTCCACAACACACCAATTCTATGGGTGGAATACTCTACTATTCATACTCTGAACTCATCCCTTTAATCTGAATATTTGCACGAAATTTTCAAAGAAACTTTCGAATTATTTCAGTGGCACTATTGACAGGTTATAATTATACTGGTAATTGCTAAACTTTCAAGAGTTTTTTCAAAAATGTTTCTCCAAGCCACCTTCCCTCGAGAAGTCATGACTCAGCCAGTCTTGAGCCTGAGAAGCTTCACGCCAGCAACCTAAAGAGAAGTCTACACTCGATGCAGAAACTAAACCACAGCTACCTAGCTCAACATCAGCAAATGTAAAAGCTCTTAAATGTGGTGAATTGTTGAAAGCAAAGGTACTCATTCATCATTTTGGTAGCATTCAAACCCCATCTTTTAGTTTATTTTAGAGGCACTAGAAAGAGATGATAATCAAACTGACAGGGGAAACAAGGATAGCATCGACAATATTGTATGAATGCATTATGACGGCAGCAAATAGGTAAGCTTCGGCGAGTAACCACAAACACCTAAGAGATTTCTCCTAATAACACGTTCAGCAACATTGAACTGAGTTAAACGATTTCATATGTGCCAGCCAATGGTCAACCCGATCATAATTCCCCCCTGTTAAGAGAAAGTGCGCACAGTGAGTCCGGGAACCCTCGTTACCTGAGCAAATGCCCGAAGGCACTACTCAGGCCAACTTACGCGCAGTTCCCTATCCCCGGTCAAATCGGCGCCTTTCCCGGGCCGGGAACGCCCGTACTCTATTTCGAAGATGAATGATGATGATACCCGGGTAAGTATCATCAACATATATTGACGTATTTCTCCCCGATTCGCCTAGACTGCCGGTAGGCGGGGAACGCCTGTCGCATTTGTCTAAACCTAGCCCCTTTTGTTGGCAGCTCGACGGGTTGGGATCACCCATGCAACCAAAATATGCTTTTTAAAAGTGACCATTGACTGCATATATGATATCGCATTCAACGCAATTCAGCTGTCACTAAACAGCATTACAAGGAGGACGTTCTTCGAGTCACCACTAGCGACTCGACTCTTCGGGTGAGTGGTCCAGGCGAACTTTCCAGACCTACCGCAACCACCATAAGGCTCTTCACACCCTACATTATTGAAACTCAATTTTTGAAGGAATGTTTTTTAATGTGTCAGTGTAATTACCATCATCACTAGGTGCACTCCCTCCCACAACCGCAACAATTGTTTTCATGCAATACCTGTGCCTCCAAAAATTCACCACTTCCAGGAGCTTATGCACCATGCTGAGTTTGATCTAGATATCTGCAGTAAAGCATGCGCATGAAGTTCAGACCCTTCTTCAAGCTACATGCGTAAAACCTAAACAGGCCTAGAACCAACTAAGCTATAACCGCCCGAATTGAGGTAATTTTAAGAGAACATTTTCCGACTGAATGCTTGGAACTTCACTGATTATGAGGTGTTTCTCAACTTGCACTGAACATAAAGCTCAACGATTTTGAAACATCACACTCAACCACAAACAGGTAGTTCATCCCAGGGGCTCAGGAGATCACATGAAACATTACATATTCAACATAGAAATTATTGATACATGTTCATGTTATACAACTGAACTTGAGAACATATGCATAAATAATAAATTTACAAATGCACAAATGAACAACGATTAGCATTTAAAAATACATCAATGTTTGTAAACAAATGAATGAAAATAAAATGAAGAAAGCAAAAAAGTGGTCACTCACTACGCCTAAATTTTAATTTTGTTTTCTTTTGCCATACACATCAACCAAATAATGCGAAAAACATGTGATGCTCAGTCAACTGATGCTCATTTATTACGGTCCTAAGATACTAGAAAAAATTAAATGGTGTAAACTATACTAAAGTTCAAAATGTTGGAAAACTGGCCTGAGGTGCATTGATGCATCCTGCGTCGTGTTGCCATATCGAATATAAGATTGCGATGTTGTTTTATAAGATTATGATCTTGAACCCATCGGTGACACACTCTCTTTTGTTCCAAGTACCTTCATGTAAGGCCTACGTTTACCCTCTTGACGGGATGCAGAACAACTGACCGCACTTTAAGTATCATCCTGCAAAAAGCACCAGTACAATGATTATATCAACAAGTCAAAACAAATATCACGATACAGTATATACCAATTCAGCTCAAAACCGAATCATCAATACTCACCCCATTCAGGTCGCTTAATCCCGCCACAACATTCGCTCGAGGCCATCGGCCGTGATGCATCACGCGTCCTGATGTCCTAGAAAGAGCATCATTCACCATGGATTATCAATCAGCGATATGCCGCGATCTGTCATCACTTTACGATATTATTCAATCCTGGTAGCCTGTTAGTATCACTAGTCAAACAGTTGAAGCAAAAAATAAACTGAATATCATCCTAAACAGCACCTACTAACTCAATAAATTCAATGCCAAAAACCCATCAAACGCTATTATAAATTAACCACATCGAAAACGCATTCACAACACAATACCAAGCCGCATCGAACATACCACAACGTTCAAAATGCCGACTCATCAATGCACGCAAACAAATGATAGTGTATTGATCACTGTTGATCAACGTTCTTCATTAAACAATGATGACTAACCAAGTTGATCAAAAACATTCGCAGCATGCAGCAACCTATATCACATGGACAGTTCGATATCGATAGACAGTCAAACAAATGCCAATTCATCAGATTCTCTAAGACCAAAAACTACCAGTAATAAATCATTTCCCGGCTAACTTGAGATCTTCAAGCTAACCGTCTCGTCATGTTGGCCCGGAAACTACCGTAATCTCAACTTTGCCCAGTAACATATGAATTTCGTAGCATCATACAATCCAGCTCGATCTCTACATTCAGAAAAACATACATGTTGCTGAGCGATTTTGATTCCCTGAGGAGATAAAGCCATTTTCTTATTGTTAGATCTGTCTCAATTCCATAGCGCAGACGCGCTCGTTCATGAAAACTGATCACTGTATTAAGCTGGTGGAATTATTTGTCATCAACGGCAGAATTAAAAAGTTCTGTCATTCATACATAACAAGTAGATTGTTATTTACAGTATGTTGTATGCTATGTAGTTACGACCTGTAGTTTATGTTTGTAGTATGTAGAACGTTATAATGAACTGTTGTTTCTTTATGTGCAAAATGCAACTTATAATACGGTTTGATGTTATTATAATGCTATAATTGTAATCCACACGGTTAATCGTCATCATTATCCGCAAACCACTGATACATACTCATTATAATCCAGATCCGCGGGATACTTCTTTCAATGTCGTTCGAAGTGCGTACGCACCGCTGAGGCGTGTTCTGTGTGTTAGACCACACCCCATTTTCCTTGAACTACACTGCAATATTACCGAGTTAAATTTTGGAGTGTTACGTAGGTTGTTTCGCGTGTTTGTTGAATTTGCATAATTTATGAAATAGTAAACGTTATAACTGAGTTGGAATTTTGCAGTTAGAATCTCTGCCGTTGTCTTATATTCATCAGTTTCTCATTTCTCGTGATGGTTTCGTCGAGAACAGTTAAGGAAATTGGTGTTTTTGGTGCACTCATTGTTGGTTTGTTAATTTCCTTATATTTTTGTTTTATTCTTATCTTCGCGTTGACCATTTTCATCCAGTTTAAATTGTCCGGAAGGAAGAATTTGACTGGGGTTTTTCTTGTTACTTTCACGTCTAAAAATCTGGCTCAAAATAGCTGCTTGAGTGTCAGCAAAAATTGTGTTTCCAAATAATCGGAGCTCCAAGAATGTTTGTAAGTGCTGGAATCGCTTTCAACTTATTGAGACAAAATCATTCGTTCATAGAGGTGGCTAAATATAACTGATAACAACAGCTGAAAACCTTACCAATTATAACTGAAGCCATCTGGTTCGTAAGTAAGAAAATTAATCTGTGATTATTTTTCAGCGATGCATTTTGCGTACTACAAAATCCAGATGAACGAGTCGTTGGTGGCGAAAGATCAACGCCAAGAGTTGTTCTATATGCGTTGGTTGAAGAAGAAGATTCCCGCACTGAAAGGAATTGGCATACCGGAAGAGGACGATCACCACAAAGACCGTTGAGCAATCAGCTGGAGTGTAATTGCTGTGATGCTTGCACGAATATTATATTATAGGTCCATTTCGTTATTATTCCATCGTCGACATTTCATCTAGCTGCAATTATTATTAGTCAGTTAGTTCGAGTAGAGCAAATTTTCGTTTGATGTTACATCGGTATGTTTTTCATGATTTTTGCGATTTCTTAATGTAATTTAGCTGGTATCTTAAGGTGACTCAGTAAACAGTTCCATAAATTTATTGCCACTTTTGGTTAAGCCATAATCGGAATCGTTTTAATGTAATCGTAGCACCATGGTTTTCTCGAAATTTTATATGAATCATATGATGTGAAGTGTGAAATCTGTTCAGATTTTTTTCCATCTTCATTTGGAATCGACGATCTTCTATTCATATCATATATTTAAGTGCACTTCGTTTATCTCTAAATTATCACAATCTCTGTTGCTTTGTTTTTGTGCAGAAAATTGTAACTGATGAAAAGTGGAATTAGTATTATTTGGTATTGTTATTGTAGTTGCTATTAATATTATTCTCTTAATGAACATCATTGTAGTGGTTAACAACTCATTAATTTTATTGTCTATCAAGCTTGAGATATCGCCTAGAACTTAAATCACATTACTTTGTCGGGTCTCGTCAACGTTTAAGATCATTTCTTCTGGTCACTCTCTTGGAAATTTCGTTGTTATTTGAAGAACTTCCGGTTTTGCGAAAACGAATTGATTTCGTCTGCTGATCTTTTTTCATCCGGTTCATTTGTTTAACTTCTTTCTGTGCATTTCTCGATTTTGCTTTCGCTTTGTTATGTGTATGGAATTTTGAGTGTGCCGAGATGTTGACGCTATTGTTTATTATTTCATTAGGATGATAAGAAATGTGAATAAAAGCAGTTGTATTACAACGCACTCCACTAACTTGTTCTATGGAAACACGAATTGTTGAGCAGAGAACACCGTTCTAGGCGGGTATCATATCTGCAGGTATATTGCATTCTAAAATATGCGATTTCTTTACGCGTGAATATTGAAGAATATGAGTTGGAGTTGAGCGGCTAATGGCATTATTGAGAGTCCATCAGAGGAAGTGAAATTTTATCAAGAAGACTTTTGAAAGCCTTTGATTGTTAGTGGACTAAAGATCTGAATCAGCTAGACTCGTGCAAACGTTATCGCTGCTGTTCCTAAGTACATAATTGATTAAATGTGTAAAGATTCATCTAGTGACAGATAAATATCTGTGCATTTAAGTGTTGCATTTGTGTTAGTGGCTTTATCGTTATCGAGACAGGAAGGCTTGAAGGGAGAGTGGAGACCATCTTAGGGTGACAGAATGCGTTTTTATCCGAAGTAAATCATCCGATTATTTGCAGTAATTTGGAGAACAGTTTGACTGTAAAACAGAAGAATAAAGTGCTAGTGAGAGCTTCAGAGATGACTTGCATTCGGCCATTTGATGTGTTCGATCTGTTCAAGTTCAATAATGTGTAAGTTTTGTCTGCAGTTATGGGAACAAACGTTGAAAAATCATAATATGAGTTAACCACATGATAGTTCTATGTATTGTACAAAGTGCGCAATGAAACTCTGCTTTTTGATCAAGTGTTTACTCAAACCGATGATGAGAATATTCATAAATTTTAACTTTTATGAACATAATGAATGATATTGATCATTTGCAGCAATCTGGATCCACTCACTGAAACGGTTAGTACGTTTGGATATTTGTTCTGTTCAGTATTTTCATTGCTTTCCGAAATCGCTTTGCATGTTCCATCATCCGTAATGGGAGATTTTTAATCATAGAAATCAGCAAGCAACTAATAATATATTAACTGAAATAGTATGAGATGACTTAAAAGTTATTGTATTCGTGTGAGTTTCATTACAAAATTTGTTTGACGTCTGAAAGGAGTGAGAATAGGATTTGTTCTCCTCATTCTTAACTGTTTTCAGTACGGATTTAATTTCTATTTGCAATACTTGATCAATCATCCAGAATATTTTCAAGTATGTCAGCATCCGAATGGTGAAATTATGGGTTATGGTATGTGATTGCTTGACGCTGTTTTACAATATACTCTAGGATACCATCGTTTCGGAAATAATTTTATTAAGGAACTTCTACTCTCGCCCGAGGAGGGAGAAGATTCCATCTGTAAATCATCAGTATTTGGTCATATTTACTGTTTAAGAAGAGGAAGGGGTTATGTGTGGTTTTGATTGTAATTGTTGATCGTATGTTAAGTGATGGGCAAGGCGGAAGGTGAACGCGAGAACTGGCACGGTCATGTCACTGCCGTCACAGTGGCGCCTGCATATAGACGACTGCGACTGGCAGCTAGAATGATGAAAACGCTTGAGAGTATATCTGAAATGTTTGTGATTGATTTGATCCGTTTCGAATTTCAATTTAACTGCTTCAAATTCGAAATCGAGTATTGAAGAGTTTTGCGTGAATGTTCGTTTGAATTTATTTGCTGGATGTGTTAGCTGCGAGATGAAATCATCAGTGAGTTAGTTGTGATGAAGCATTTGAATGAGTACAGTTCTCTGCAAGCAACTATTTGAACCGGAACAGTGACTTGGCCAGATAATTGATGAGGTGATTCAAACGCGGTCATTGAATGGCGATTGTGGATGTTGAACAATTTTAGGAAGAAGTGCTATTTTGTGGATTTGTTCGTTCGTGTGAGTAACACAGTGGCGATTAGTATGTATACGGCGCTCGGTTATGTGGTTTATCGACGTATTATAGACTATTATTCGGGCGAGAATGAGGAGGACGCTTTTGGTAAGCTTTAGCACCGAAAATGCTTTCCATTTTTGTCATTTTGTTCACACTAATTTCTCCGGAATGTGGTACACTTGGTTTATTTCACTGAGTTTGATTGAAGCAAAAAGTAAATTCAGATATGCGGAAGGCGTTATCACGAGACATTGAGAAGAAATCAATGGTACCGTTAAAGCAACCGGTTACGTGTGATGAAATTGATCTGAGGGATTGACTGACACAAAGCACCGACCTATCATTGATTATCGCTTAGCCACTCTTGATTGTAGTTTTATATTGCTTCTGTGTTCATGTATTTATGACTAATCATTCTATGCAGATGTTCGGTTCCGCATAACTCTTGAATTGTTTCGTGTTCAGCTGAGAACGATCGAATTCTGAAATGTTCATCGTTTGATTGGCCTTCTGACTAACATTTAACAATAGAAATGTGGAATTTTTGCAGAATAGATGGATAGGTTCTCATTGAGAATTGTTCATCTCTGAACGTTATTTATGCGTTCATTTCTGAATGCAACAGATCAAGGGTTGGGGAAACTTGAATTGTTTGGTATTCATTCTCGTCTCTGTTTTCGATATGATACCGTTCGCTTGAATATTTTGAACTAATCATCGCTAATGTTCCCTTAATTAATTTTTGTTATATATTTCTGTTGTACGACATTTTATTTCATTCTATTTTTTGTTTCCTTTTGTTCGGTGATTCAGACTCATTTATTTGTCATACATCTTACTTGCTTTCTATTGGTGACGTTTATTGATGCCAATTTCTGAATATGAGTTGAATATTACGCCTTGGAAAGTGCTTGATTTTGATCGTATATCTTCTAACAAACTGTTTTCGCGCATTATTGTCATCAATGAGAATAATTGAATAACAGAATGTGCCCACTCGCAGTGAAGAATTTCTATATGAATACTGATGGATTGTGTTTTAAAACAATTGTGGTTGGAGTATTATGCATCTGTATAGTTTCGATGGAACTGTTGAGAAATAATTTTGTATGAGTGAAATTTCCGATCAAGAACGGATTCAAGCGATATCTTTTGAGTAGTGATTCGGGTCATCAGATCTGGTATTTACAATTAGTATACGATAATGAGAGTTACCTAGAGTGATAGCTTCGTTTTGATGGAGCTCGGATGGTGTAGTTCTCGTGGAAATATTGTCAATGTCATCTTCAAAATTCAGTGATCAGCCTGCGCACCATCCATCTGGATATCATTAAGAATGGATCAGCCGAAGCCGAAAAAGTTCTCCATCTTTACTGGCTTGCAATTCGCTACAACCGGAGCCGCGACCTTGTTGATGTTAAGATGTTTCAATCGCTTTATATCGCACGCTCAACGTGGTCGAGCCATAGTCGGTTGTGCAGGTCTGCGCATTTTGTCAGTATTTCTTGCGCTTTCAAGCAGTCTTAGAATTTAGTGGCCTATTGAAATGCTCCTCGAATTGCATACATTTTCACTTGTTTACGTTCGCCAACAGTGTCTGGTATTATTAACAGTTGATTTTTTCAAGCTTTGTCCAATTTCTAGCATTCAACATTCCTAAAATTTTCGTTCTATTTCCATGCACTTTTTATTGCGATCGTTTTCCTGTTCGCGGAATACGCTCAACGCCTTAAAGGAATTTTTCATTTGAATCCAACACAATGCTAACGGAATCAATTGCTCAATACGACCAATTCTAAGTGCTTGTCGAAGTAAAGGAAATTCTAGCTGGGTTATTTTTCAGGATGTTTGTATTTGTCATTCGCAAATGAGTTGGGTTGGTTTCCATTCTCGCTTGTGGCCGTCGGCAAAACATCGACTCGAAATAATCAAGAGGCAGTTCGCGAACCGATTCGAACATAAATGGTTCAATACAACCGAAGGATCACTTAAATCATGCAGAGAAACTTCCTCGGTTTCTCGGCTGCCTCATCATTGAGTGAATGATGATGCACTGAACTTTTTGGGGTTGGAAAAAACGTAATCATTGAATACATCACATATTTCATGAGTCAGTCGTATGGATATTGTAGGCAAAAATAGTTTTGTAGAACTGTTTCAGTTCATATTGTTGGTGAATATATTTTGTCTGTAGATTAGAACTTATATATAAACATATAAACTGGAACTTATGGAACTTATTTATATTTGCTATCTGAATATGGAAACAATAAAATATTTCCCGTGGAAGTATGCATATCATAGTGTTTCATTGATAATTGTTTCTTTGAACCGCTCCTTAACGGCCTTTCTGTAGTTTATCTTCGTTCATTTCAGGATGTGTGTATATCGTTCGATATTGAAACTATTTCTCGCTTTCGCATTATTGCTAGGGCTTTGTTTGCTAGTGGCGACATGATTGGATTTTTATTTCAATTGGACTCTGAAGTCAGAAGGAAATAGTGGTGGCAATACACCGTAGAGGGATCAGTAGGAACAAGGGCTTTAAATTGGGAAAACTTGTCATTTATTGAGATAAGATAGCGGGCTTGGTTCCTTACTCATAGAGCAATGATGCCCAAACCAATGAATGCACTTGTATATTTCTAGATCGTATCTGATCTTGCGAAGCATGCGAGAATTTTCCGTGGGACCGCAGATTTGATATTAGTGGAAGTTCAGGGAGAATGGATTCATCAAAAGATGACACAAGCGATCTCGCGCAACGATTGGCCTCCATTGAGCAGGACTGCCAACCTTGTCGTTTCACGGGCTCTGCGTCAGCGTTTGCGATTGGTTCATATGTGCTGTACTGCACTCAAAGCGGTTACTATGCTAAACGACCGTACTCAAGGCTAATCGTGCGTTGTGTAGCTGCTGGTAAGTAGCATAAGCATTGATAGTGTTAGTGATGTCTGAGTGGAATCACCTCTTGCTGAGTACCGATACTTGTTATGATTTCAGATGGTACAAATCAGCTCATCTCCTGTCCTCACTTGAACTTAGTTGCAGCTCACTACGAGGATTTTTGTCTGTCTAGTGCTATCGATCTGAACACCCATATTTGGTTTCATTTTAGGAGCCTACTACATGTCATTGGCTCGTTTCATCTATCTGCCACCGTTCTCACATTTAGCTTCAACGAATCGTCATCATCACCAACAGACTCACACTAAATCGTTTTAACGCAACGAAGAGAACGAAGCAGTGTGATTTGCATTCATTTACGTATTTTGATTTCGTATCCGGTTTGTATCTTGTAAGTGTAAATGCTCGACTATGGCACTTTCCAAATGATAGCAGTTTGTGTATTTTGCATAATTTAATCTTTTGTTACGGTGTTTCATTTGGAATAAACAGTATGAACGAGAACGAGCGCTATCGCCCTTTCAAAAGAATAATATCAGTCGTATGTGCGACTTTCTATCGCTAGCCATCCCGTTTAGACTCGATTAGAACTTGACAAGGAGATTTCTCACTTAGAAGACTGGTGGCAAGCGTTTGAAATGCCGAAGAAATTCATTTTCTTGATGGGAGTGGCCGGATGTGGTAAGAGTACGGTAGGCGTGGAATTGGCCAATCAACTTGGTGCCAGATTCATAGATGCTGATAATTACCATACTGTAGAAAATCGTTCGAAAATGGCGAAGGGTTAGTGGAACAAGAGAAAACTCTTGAATTTATTCTATGATCCTAATTAAACTTTTCAACTTATTTTTCCGTCTATTTTCTCTGAAATTGTTCAAGAATTCAACGGATAAGTTCGAATCTTCTAAACATTCGTTGTATGCCATCGATATGTCGACATTCCAAACGACAGACTCCTCATAATGCGAGAAAATTTTGTTCGATTGAGGGAAATCTGAATTTTAATAAGGCGTGAATATTGCAGAGGAATTGGTACTAGACTCGGCGTTGAACAATTTCATCCATTCAATTATTCTTTGTTTCGAGTTGTTGCTCAACCTGAACTTTTCTTTGACAATGAGCAATGCTTTAATCACTAGTGAGAATTGGCTCAAACTAAATCTATGAAATACTCGAACAGTTGACCCTATGACCTCATCAAACAGAGAGAAATCAAAATTAAATGATAAAAGAATTGGATATCATCTGGAATTAAGGAATTCCACTCAGCGATTCTGATCGGTTACCATGGCTTCAACAAATCGCTGCAATAGCCAAAGAAAGCGATGCCCAAATCGTTGTAATCGCTTGTTCGGCGTTAAAAAGAACGTATCGTCAAATTCTAAGTGAATCACTTGAAGACGACTATATGTTCATACATCTGGATGTTCCGAGGTATAGCCGTATCAGTCACTCTCAACACTGTCACTGATTTGAATACGCATTCCATTTTTATGATGCTAGTAGTAATGCCCTTCTGCAATAAATTTGTTCAGTCGCAAAGAAGTTGATGTACTAACTCAAAATTATGAAATGATCCTCTCAAACGATTCTATAATCTACCACAATTTCGAGCTGATATCGCTTTAGCTAATATATTCAATATTTACATCAGAAAAAGCGCTGGTTAGCTGTAAACTTCAGACATTATTGATGAAAGTTTCAACAGTTCTAGTTGAGTTTCTTATGGAATTATTTCATTAATTAGTCTCATTGATGCAGTTTTTGAGAGAATAGAAATATTATTATCGTTCACTGTTGTCACAATGAGCATTAAGATCATTTCCGAATTTCAACTGTTACATTTAAGGCGTTCATGTGCTTTCTTTCGTTTGGTTTTTCGTGTTATAAATTCTGATTGCAAAATCAACACTTCAGAACTGAACTGGAAAGACGTCTTCAATCTCGTAAAGGTCATTTCTTCAACAAGTCTCTACTCGACAGCCAATTGACCACTCTCGAGAAGCTGCAAGACGAACGCAACTCTATCATTCTCGACGCAGATCAGTGCGTTGCGAATATTATCACTCAAATTATGTCTTTACTAAATCAGCGATGACCACAAAATCAGATCAGTTAAGCATATACACATCAAATGATGGAATCGAGCAATTTCGAACACTTCCAAACAAATTGTGCACTTAACAAGTGCAATGACAGACTTTGCACTGTTCCTATATATAGAGGATAACAATTTCATTCTTCAATCATTTATTATTTATTGAGCCAATAATATTCAGCGATAAATGAAGCAATAAATTATCAAAACAAAAATTTCGCAAGCACATTGAAATGATACAATAACTCATTCATATCTCGTCATAAAATCTGTTATCTCTATTGCTGTATAACACGCAACCACGAATGTTATTCGCTATCTTTATTGCAGAAATTTTTTCTTTTCAGTTCACAACACGAACGTATTTTTATTAGTTTTATAACAGTTAAATTGATTAGCTTGTTTAATTCCCTTGATCACTGGAATGCGAATCACCAAAAGCGAGAACCCTGTTTTTCGAATTTATTTACTTGCAGCTATTCGATTGAGAATTTCTCCAAGCGTAAATTGTTGTCGATTCGAATTGCATCAACTGGCAGACCACAACGAAGTTCATAATTACAGATGAATTTATCATTTACGAAAATCTGAAAAAAAAACTAAACGGATTTATCAGCAATATTGCTGCCAACAGTGTTTTTTACTCACAATTGGTTGATTTCTTTTGGAGTACGACGAGCAGTACTGTCAACTTTTTCAATTAATTGCATCATATTCAGGCTAGGGAAGGGTCAGCCAAATGGCTTCTACCCTTAGAGTGAGTGAGGGATGTTCCGATGCTGCAGTTTTGATGTGCCAGGAGAGTGAAAGACACATGTCTCGAATCAACCCTGTATCCTCGAGCCAGTACCGAGAGACCTATCTTGCACTGAACTGATCGACACCCAAACATTCCATTTCGCTCTCCATACATACGCAATTGAAAACTGATAACCACTGTCAATCACTAATCTTAATTTTATCACTCTTAAAAGACTACACATAATATAACCTGAAGTGGATTTGCAGCTGTGACTCTGAGTGCAAAAGACAGTTCACGTCTGAATGGGAACTGATGCACTTTCTCTTCCTCTTGCCAATTTCCCGCACGTGTACTGTTCAGCACGATATACTGCAATAGCAATCGTCACAAATCAACCCGTTCGTTCATTGTGTAATTTCACAATAATAGTGATGGAATGAGCAGAGAAAAGAGTGCAATGAAATGTTGCATACGATAACTAACGAATTGATAATCAAACCTACAAAGTGGTCAAATCGTGCACTGAACAGTAGCACATAATCGCTGCAGTGCATCAGGCCTATATCGAATTTTTTAGCTTTGGCTACTGGAGTTGCGGTAATTGTGAGTTGTTGGCGTTCAGAGAGCGACATTCGAATCAGTTGTTTCTTTGTTGGTGCACCCTGCAAGGAATGAGGCATTGAGAACACTTATGATGTTTCTCGAATTAACGAATCAATAAGACATCATATGGCCAACTGATTGAATACCTTATTGAAAGTGAACTTCAAAAAACTTGTCGCTGATTTGCCGAACGCTCCGACTTTATTTTGTAGCTGTTGTGTGGTGAAAAGGGGTGTATAAATGTTCTGAAATTTATTCATTTTATTTTATTGTTCACTATAGAGAAGATTTTCTATGGGAATAATTTTTTGGAAAAACAAAATTCCTCCGGAAATATCATCTGGAGATGTTTCTTCCAAACTCTCTCTATGCCAGAGTTCCACTAAAATATCATCTGCGATATGCCCGAAGCATCACCAAATGTTCAGTGGTACAGTCTTATACATTATGAATTGGCTGCTTTCTGAATATCGATGGTTTCGCCCTAGCTTTGCATTCATCGATAAGCTTCACTTCCACTGAGGTGTTTAAGTGAACGGTTGAGAAAGTATTCAATAAAATAGGTTATTTGCTGATTTTTGAGGAATTATCATGGTATATCGAAGGAACGAAACCAAGAGGATATGAACTTTATCGTTGATTTCAGTGAAGGGACATGTGGTCGTTATGAATTATACTTGGTGATTAGAAATACGAATGAATGAAGTGCATTCATCTGAAGCAGCTGATAAACTAACCACAGTTGACGATGGTCTTGTGGGACGTGACGTGGAAGATTTGACTCTGTAACAATTACCATTCGGCGGCAGATTAGACGAGTAATTACGCACTTAAAGAAAGAGACACTTCATAGATGATGATGTAAAACCGGTTCAAGACGAATGAGTTTTTCAAAATTACGATTGTTCTGATTCAGAATTGATTGCACTGCTTCAAAACTGACTGGCCAACTTATTGTCAGCTTATCAAAAAATTTGTTAACCGCAAATATTGTAAAACATTTAAATTAATCCGCCAATAGACCACAGAAATACTGCGCCTTTAAACTATCGACAATCAGATCAATTTTTCTCTTCAAATCGTTTTTTGGAATCTTTCATCGTTACCGATTAGTTATGCAACGCTCTTGAAATGTGTAAATTGGCTGAAGAAAGAAATCTCGAACGTTGCACATGAATAGAACCTTGCTGTGAAAGAAATCAAGATCAGGACTGACTTATAGGTTTGTGTGCTTGTGTATCACTCGATGCTGAGTTTTTATTAGGACAACTATCATCTGACATTCTGCGCTGACGCTGATTGCTGTTATTCATAGGAGAAGGTGAGTGAATCGCATCGGAGGATATCGGTGACTCTGCGTTGCGGTTATCACAAGGTGGCTGCGGATATCTGTTTGATTTGGTAATATCTGAATATCCGTATGCATTCGGAGAATCGTGCGAACGGACTCGAGCTGTTGCGAAATGTGGACATTGTCGACGCCCATCGAAATCCGAGTCATATCTATTAGGGTTAGAGTGCTGACCCATCCTTTTGCTGCTGTTGACTGCGAATTGATCTACTTGCTCCATATTATCACAAGAGTTTGTAGTGGTTCTACTTGAGTTGCTGCTAGTGCTGCTTAATAGGGCTGCGCTCTTCATGCCTCTTGGGTGCTCAAAATCGTTTTGCATTGTTGTCGACACATCATTCTCATTGTTTGAATCATTTAAACAATCCAGTTTCGGGTACAGATTAGTGGACTTCAAGACTTTCGTAGGATTACTCTGCGCAGACTTGAATTGAGCCGGATCGTAGTCGTTCAATCGTTGAGAAGCAACACTTGAAGGTGGCCGCAGACAACCAGCAGGAGTTGGTGGTAGATGTGCTTGATCGAGTGGAGCCTTTCTAGGCAAAGCGGGTTGTTCGTCGTAGGCTGGGGTTGAATCGGATGATGGTGATAGCGACCCATTTATGATAGATAAGGGAGGTGGAGGGCGCGGTGGTGCCAATCGCTGTGTGCTAAACCCACTCACTGATGGTGCTCCAATTCGGAAATCGTCATCATCTTGCATCGGTATTCTACACGCCATCTGAGCACCACCACCGACGTAAATTGGTTGAAGATTACCGATTCCTTGGTTGTGCCCTGCATCGAGACGATGCTTCCTGTATAGTGAATCTGATGGAGTCAATTCTGCAAATTACACATATCTCTATTGATCCCAAACACCACCAAATGACAGCTGTTATTTTCGGAAGATATTTCACATGAATCATTTCATCAAATAGTTATGATCACTGTATAGCATTGATAGTATTCATGAACGCACATGACCAACAATTATTGATCACATTAATGAATTTACGCGGTAAGTGAAGTAAAGATACCTGGTGCGCCTGGTAAGTGTTGAATTTTATTGAGTAAAGCAGTAACATCAACTTGCTCCTTCACAACATCCGAATAATCTGGCGGAGGGGTGTAGTATACTGAAATTTTGAAGGCAATCCCATAACATCTGCCTAGCATTCGGAAAAATTTTCTCGCAACGAAGTTGACTCAGATTTACTAACGACCCATCTAAAACTCTGGCAATAATCTTGTTACTAGCCAAACTTCCTCCAGTTGGGGATATGTGACAAATAGATTAGCTGAGATTGTGAGATGCGATGGGATAGGATATTTTTCGTTAAGAGCATATTCGAAATGTTATGCCCAATGGAGAGACCGTAAGAGAAATTCGAAAATTACACAGAGACGGAGTCATGATGAGTTCGTCGATCACCAATGCGCCCACAACCAACAGAGTTTTCACGTCATCACAACGCTTCGTGAATTCGGTTACTTTAAATCCATCCACTGTTAGCTGAAGTCTTTTCTCCAATTTATTTGTTGAAAAAGAATTGGACAAAATTTATTTCAGGAGAATATTGATCCCAAATCGATTTTCAATTGCAGCATTCGTAATTTGAGCACGTGAAACGATCTTTAGGTACTGGCTTATAAGAACCTGCAGTAAGCCAGCATTTCTTGCTACACTATCACATGACTGGGTCAACTGATGATTTTTAGTGGTCAGGTGAACGTGAACAACATCAGAATAGAGGTCAGGATTTTGAGAGCCTCTCTGGAATGTCGGAGATCGTGCAAAGATTGAAGTGATACTTGTCGATTTGATCTTGCCCTCATCAGAATTGTCCCTACTTCAGCTGAATGCATTTCCCTGTCAGATGATTATTGAAAGGATGACAGGGACTCACAACAAACTCGCCACTGTTAACTGTAATCTCGAGTGTGAATTGTCGATCGATAGCGAGACCTACGCCAATATGTCTGACAGTCGGTGACCACTTTCCGTTGAAACGTGACTTAACGTCAATAGCACTTCGCTGCTCGGAATCAAACGAAATCGTCGCCATCAACGCCACATCCTCACCGCTTTCCATCATATATATCTCAAAACCACTAAAAAAATCGGTTCATTTTATCACGTTTCTGATGACGGCGTTAAATACCGAAATGTCAAGTGTGAATTGACAACAGCAATCTTAAATATCCACGATAACGACAAGTTCGGATCACTATCGTATCAACGCTATCAAATGAAGACTATTGCGAAACGTTTGCGCTGATCATTCAAGTGGACAAATTTCCACCTAATTTAGCTTCACGGTTAATTGACAATGCAATAGCCTACAACTACGGTATAATAATGAAATCTTATATAAATGCATTAGTAACTGAGGATATATTTGATTCAGTCTGTTGAAAGAGAACATCTCGAAATATAATAAGGTCATTCGATTGTTTTCATTACCTTTTATCGCCTTTATACGGAGTTCCAATCAATTTTACCTTCGCGCCAACACCGAATCCATTAAATTCAGCACGAAATGGTAAGGTCTGAAACTAGCCCATAACTAAGGTATAGTTATGGCATCTCTCTTCACAAATACTTGTCTTTGACTCAAATACTGATCAAATGAATGGTGCATTGACACTGAGCCAACGAATTAGAATTACATGGTGATAACATTATGTCTTAATCACCTCGATTTGCATCCAGATATAATTCGAAAGTGCATTCGAGAGTTTGAACTCAAAAATCGACTAAACAAATCAAATTGAGAAGGTAATTTGAATTATTCAAGGGCAAAATCGAGAAATGAAGCAAACATACGGGTCGCGCAAAATGTCGTGGCACAAGATAATTATTTGGCATATATTCGGCCATGACTCTCTATATTTTCACAAGGCCACTGACTTTGAATTATTTCTTTATCGAAATATGCAATCAGTTCTTTTCAGTGGGTATAGTGATAAGAGAACACACTCAATATGACAGTGAAGTGGATGTTACAGACATGAGTATGCTTATCGCTAGCATACAATATTATCAGCAACTCATCATTCCACTTTACATCAATCCTTTGATGCACCTACGTGATTTGTAGTATTGTGGAAGTTCGCTTTGTGTACAAAATTCATTTCAACTGTCTGTTCGTGAACCGAAACAAATTGTTGCCGAATGTCAGTCGTGAACTCTTTAAAAAAAGTACGCAGCACATCATCGAAACTGAGTCATCATCACTATGAAGTGCAAATAGAATCGTGTGAAGCTGATATTTGAGCAGGGCTTATGTTGATAGTGCATTTCTTATAACATGACTTCGGCGTTTATTTGCAATAATACCACTTAATAATAATTAATATCATCCAAGTACAAAGGGATAAGACGATCATTTAACGATGGGAATTTGGTGCAGCAGAAGGGATATACTGGCAAATATTCCCATTCGATTCTCGGCGATCAATGCATTAATGTAAGCTTCGTCCTCATCTTTGGACATTATTATCGCGAAGAAATCTTTTAACTCTTGCAGTTTCTTGTTCTGATTAGAATGCGCATCAACTGTCTGTTGGCGTAAACGCTAAAAATAGGCAGGAACTTAGACATACATCCTCCATCAATGAAAGCTTTGATTTGGAAACATTTGCAACCGATTTCGGATGATTTATGCTGATTCAAAGCAAGTCTTCTTCAAATGCAATAAATAAATTCAACGATCTTAAAAGATCAGAAATAAATAGGAATAGTAAGAGACGAAATTGGTCTCTTTGTGGAATTAATAGATTATAGATCAACCTTTTCCTCAAGAAGATATTGCTGGAGAGTATCAATTTTCTCAGTCAATTCTCTGTTTTGCTTCTTCAACTCATCATTCTGCAACACAAGTTCTTTCCGATTCCATCAAAACCTCTGCACAAGCCAATGCAGGTGTTCGTGAGCAAGAACTGCATCAGTTTTATTTGGGAACAGCAACGTTATTTAATGATTATCTCAAAAAATCGCATGTACTTGCGATCGGACTAACAAACTTTCTTATAGGCAACGAAATAGAAGTGTCTTGAAGATCTCTCTCAATTACCTAACTATTTCTTCCAATTGACCTGAAGTACCCTACAGATCGTATTCCACAAGTTGCAAATTTTTTAAATCACGGTCCCCATTAAAACACTGTACGTGACGAACACTGTACCTCGTGCTTCAGCTGATTCAACACCTTGCTGTGTTGCGACATCGCTGTCGCTCGTTTCTTTTCCATTTCTTCAATTCTTCGCTTGCTATCCATGAGCGCTTTTTCGGACTGTAAACGAAAATATCGTCTGTGTTCACTCCATGCATGTTCATTGTTAAAATTCATCAAAATTTCCAGTCTTTAATTCTCACTTATTTGAGTCACTCTCAGTTATTCTTCTCTTCATTCCACGAGAACCGAAGAGAAGAATTACATCTGGTAATCAATTTTATATCTTTACTCAATTTTATATCTTTAACCATTTATGCTCAATGCTCCGCAGGTACCGCCAACTTCTTTCGTAAAGGTCCACTCTATGAAATGCACCTATTCGATGGGCTTTATGAGCAATAAAAGGTGATTGATTGGAAAGCAGGAAAAAATTTGATGAAAAGACCTGATTCGATGACCGTTCAATGTGTTTTTGAAGACGATCGATGACGGATTCTTGAAATTTGATGTGTGTATCACGTTTATCAATCACCTCATCCTTATCCGCCAACTGCTGTTTCATTCGCATCACTTCTGTACGTTCATTTTCAATTGTTTCTTCCATCGTAGCTATCACCTCAACAAGTAATTCTTTAGTTTTTCAGAAGTTCGTTTTCTGATTTCTCGTGCAGCTTATTGTTCAAAATGGCACTATTTTCATTGATTCAAACAGCTTTTGAGTTGTGCTGTTTGCAAGAGCGATATTTTTTGAGTGGTCAAAAATTGACGAAGTTTCGGGCATCGATCACAATTGACGAAATCGGTGACAGTCAACAGAATACAGCCCAACCTCTTGACTCATCTTCACCTCAGCACTGTTCTGAATTTGCGCTATCCTCTCAGCTTTCTTACGTTCCGCTTCGTTTTCTGCATTCAGTTCGTTACGGATCCTACAAAAGTTTACGTTACTGAACAGGCTTAGGCTTGACTAGTTTATTGTTATCAAGGCGTTTGTTACTAATTGAAACTGAATGACGTGCAACTACACCGTTACTATCACCGTGACCCAGGGTTAAACTAATACGCATTTAGAGTGAAACAATCATGCAAACCAATTTAAGCCACAACTTTTTCGTCAGTTGAACAACAAGCTCTCGTTCATGCATTTCCTCACTGTTGATTCGTGCAGTCTTCTCTTGCAGTTCCCGCTGCATCCGTGTGATTTTCTTATTCGCCTCCATCAGTTCCAACTCGACTCTCTTCTCATTGTCCATTTGAATCTCTCGAAAATTTATTGTAAAGCATCATTCAACTCATATTTACTTTTGCGACTACAAAAATGCCTGTTCAAGGCTCGTCACCCGCACATAATATTCACTCGATGCAAATGTTTTTGTGAATATTGCAGTAAGTTAGTGGAGTGCTTAATGCTCCTCGTTAGAATTTTGCTTAGTTAGATTCTGAATAATTGATTTGAATGTGAATCAGTGGATTCATGACAGCATTATAGCCATCTGTCGATCATTTATGAATGATTTCTATCTTAAAAATATGAAAAGTTGTCGCCATGAAAATTGTCGATTTGGGTGAAGTAAGCAAGGCACTCACTCATGAGAATATTTTCAGCACGACATTTCTCCAATTCATCATTCAAACGCGATATCTCTTCTCTATCATCGGATGTCACTTTTTCGGTGGTCGTATTCTGTTTGGAGATTTGATCTCTTTTCATGTCTTCAAGACGTGCGATCTTCAAAAAGAGCGCTTCAGTTATTGAGTGCACAGTTATTCAGAATGCTTATCAAAATCACTCAACATGAAATAATTACGAGATAATAATCGTAATGAACATTTCAAGTGGAAAGTGAACGATACTTCGTAGTCTTTCGCCTCAACGGTTTCTTTCAAGTAGATTATCACATCGTTCATTTCATCGTACGAGCGTTGTTTCTCTTTAGCAAGCCTATCATTCTCGACGATCAAATCTGCGATTCTTTCCTCAAACCTCGAGCTGTTGAACTGACGCCTCGCAGTCAAAACATCAATATTGACAACAGTCATTTTGATGATGATAACAGCAAGTCTATCATGGTGAGAAGGCTCATAATTACGAAAGCAAGAAGTGAGTATGATTATGAATCGTGACGCAGTTACGATTTCACGAACCTGGCTATATTCAAAACAAAAACATCAAATAAATGAAATGGAGCGGTATTGCAATCGCTTTTCTGACAAAGAAAATATGCAGAAATGCAAATAACAAAAACGTTGCTACCTGTAACATGCAGATTTCCTGTTGATTTGATTGATGTGGCTTTGTTTGTCGTTTCATGTTGATCTAAATGCTGATCGATTAAAAGCTATCATGACTGTGTGCCGTTTAGGGCAGACTGAGTCTTAAGGCAGACTTAGATCATTATATGTCCAGTTATGCATGACTGAATCAAGTATTGCACATGCATATTACGGATGTATTGCTATCGCTCTGTCCACGCATTTGACTTTTAAAATTTTCAATTTTCATTTACGCATTCATATCGTTCAACTGAATATTTTGCTCGGTTGCAGCGAATCAAAAGTTTTTCATCGGATCGTTCGCACCTCATCATCTCACATGAATAAAGCTTGAAAAGCAATAGTGCAAAGAGATGTCAATGTTGTTGTCGGAACGAAGCCGCCTTATATTTGCTCATTGTCAGTACTGCAAAATATGAAATCGATGAAAATGAGACGGATGTGGGTGACGAAGCATTGCGTTCTAAGAAATATTTACATCAAAAGTGCAGCACCTATCGGCCACCACATGCGATATCTTTCAAATGCGCTATTTTTGATGGCTACGTCAACAATGGTTTCGAAAAATTATTGCGTTGAATTTTCTACTAAATCAATTTACATGAAGAAATGAATGCTGAGATTTTCATTAGAATACGCTAAATAACTCTGCCCAAACTCAAAAAATCAGGATCATGTCGAACAAGAAGGAGATCATTCTTCAGTGATCACTGAAACACACTTCCCCAAGAGCCTGATACTCCATATCGTTTCTTTGAATACATAACTGTCAATGCCTTTGAGATCTCTAAGCCAGGGATTCACCATTCAGTGTCCGAGCTGACTCAGAGGTGGAGCGCCAACCGGTAATTGGTACGTCGCGGGTTCGATTCGCGTTCGCGGAGGAAAGTTTCGCTCGAAACCGAGTGATGTACCAATCTCATTGATACCAGCGTTGTTTTACGCTTAATCTTCGTTGAATTTCTCTCGAAAATTCCGATCTGAAAACTGAGTGGAACGCATTTGACTGCAACGACGGAACTGCATTTGATCTGTTTAGATATCAGTAAACAGAATGAAGTTTGCACATCAAATAAACGATGAGCTTTCATAACTAATCGGCATAAATATTTGCTAAAGTTTGAAATGATTGTCTGAGAAGTCAGGTGTTCAAACTGATCCGAGTAAGCTTGATGTGCTTATTGTTTCGGCGAGTTATCGGTATCTGAGCGGGGTTCATAACGAACGCGAATTTCGAGCATTGTCAGTCCGAGTGCACTGCAGAGAGTATCGCTATTTTTTCGCAGCATTCTTCTTCCCATAAGCAACCATGCTATTCGCACGAATAATCCGCGCCTTCTGCATGCTATCGATACTTTTTGAGGAGGTTATTTGAATGCTTTGCTTGCGTCATTCTTATATGACCTTATGATTATATTATATAATTGAATTATGCTAGGAAGCAGTAAAGGTTTGCAATGCATAGCAGTTTTCACGCTGGAGTTGTTTCTATGGCTGGATATCAGAGACACTGATTTTGCAAAATGACTTGAGCTATTACCTGTTTTCATGTATTCCTTTCATCATTTTAATGGTAATTTCTAACCGTATATGAGCACTTTCAGATCGTGAATGCGGACAACACCAAAAAGAGTCCATTCTTAACAGACGCAGACTACAAGATGGCAGCTTATTTGACCGAACATCCCAGCAAAGAGCCTGTGAATAACACGGCAATGTATATGGATGGATTCTTCGAAGGAGATATTAGTATGTCATTGATGAGCTGGTGTCTGATGAGTTGTTGCTATTGGTACTTCATTTTGTTGTCAAATTAAGGCGGAACTGAACGAAACGGAAACGCCGCACTTGGACACATACCACAAATCTTCCGCAATGCTATACGAGACAAATCGAAACTGTGGAAGAATGCTCGTGTGCCGTACATCATACATCAAAGTTTCTATGCGACTCAGTGAGAATTTTCTCTTGATGAGAAAGCTTATTCATTTGATTCCACCTGAGATTACTTCGGTTTACGTAAAAATGGCACTGATTTGGATAGTTAGCCGCGAGTACCGTATGACTAAAATGTGAAAACAAACTATAAATGATACACCGAATTGATCACCCTGATGTTATGTACCACAGTACCTGTTGAAGTGAATTGTTCAATTCCGTGAAAGGATTGATTCATTTGATGGATTCTTCATCTGTGCACTCTTTGGAATAGGTTTAACATTTGATGAATACATGAGTTGCGAAAATTTCAGAAGAGGTGCGATTGCTGAAGCAGTTAAAGAATTCCACGATGAAACGTGCATCCGATTCAAACCATGGAATGGAATTGATGATGGATTCGTGCATTTTAAGGATGAAAACAAGGGGTGCAATTCACCTGTTGGCACCAATGGTATGCAAAGTTCGATATGTCCAATCTGCATTATATCAGCTATAAATTTTTAGAGCTGTTCTCGTATATATGGTGAAATATTTCAGAAACACATGAGCATATTTCAGGGCATGGCAACACAGTGAATCTGGGTCGTGGATGCTTTGGGAAAGGGACCATAATGCACGAGATTCTACACACTCTAGGATTTCATCATGAACACAGTGGGTTTCACAAGTCAAGTGTCGAATTCATTTCCTCGCTCCCCCCCCCCCNAAAAAAAAAAAATTCTCCGATTGATAGTATACTCAGTTCGTTTCGATCAAATTCCTCTCTTTGCTCAATGTAGAATATTACACGGATGGCAGAACTGAATGGCCTAGCAGTTCAAGTATCTTTACATGTTAAAAGGCTCCGATTGTAAGATGTAGTTGTTAAACTTTGAGGGCAAGTTACTGCACCGTCCGAATGAATGCAAACTGTTTCCAGATCGTCCAGATCGAGATGAATACGTTGAAATACTCTGGGATAATATACAAGGAAGTAAAGGTAAATTCAAAAAGATCGTTCAAACACATTTCAGATGCACTCTTGCTCTTTGAGCTCAACTATACTATGGTGACTTCTTATGAACAGCGAAGTGATGCTGGTGAGCTAGAGTGCATTCGAATGTAAATGCTGACTGAGAAAAGTATTGAACAGGTAGAAGAATAACAACTCAGGTGGGATCACGGTAATTATTATAGTGCTAGCACTCATATCACGTCTATTCGTTCGATTAATATGCATTCAGCGGTTGTGTTTCTCGTTTTCGACAATTTTTGTTTGCACGACAGTCGATTGAGAATTATTGCACGCTAATTTCAGATAACTTCCTTCCAAGACCGGCATATGAAGTTGATGATCTCCTGGAGAAGTATGATTACACGTCTCTAATGCACTATGATGCGTATGCGTTCGGTGGAGGTCGTCAAACGATCAAACCGAAGGACGAGACCGCTAAAATTGGCCAAAGAGCCGGATTTTCAGAGGTGGATCTTAGGAAGGTGAAGAAATTGTACAGTTGCGATGATGGTGAGTTGATCATTTCGTTTTCGCATGCCTTCTGTTGTCACTGAATTTCTTAAGTAATAACTGGACACACATTTTGGAATATACTTCCTCTTCTTCTTCAGAAACGTATGTTATTCGCATCTGTTGAATCTTGAAACTTTTCCTTTCGTGCTGTCGATGATTTCACAAGCTATAGCAATATTTGTCGGCACACATTCCGGCGAGTAATTTGCCCTAATATGGTAAGGACGGTGCCAAAGCTGATACATCTGAGGTTTCTAATAATAATAAGTACGTTTCGATATTTACAGCTAGTTCGTGCAGTGATCGCGATAAAAGCTGCGATCAGATGTCTGTTCTCTGCGACATCTCAACGTACGTCCAACAACTCTGTCCGAACAAATGTCTGACGTGCACAGAATCTCAATGTAAAGACCGAGGCTTGTGGTGTAAAGCTGTCAAGAAGTACAAATTATGTGATGTCAGCAAAACACCGATCCACACATGTCCAAAAATTTGTGATAAGTGCTAAAATCATGCCGATCAATAAAACTGAAATCATATTGAATAAATGCTCTTGAGAATCCTTATAAATTTATTTCTTGAATGAATTTTTGATCGATGCAATCGATGCAATGGTGATGCTTTGAGTCATGGCATTACACTGTATTACTATGCTCAACGATATATATCCTTTAATTGCCTTTAATTAGCGACTTTCTATTAATACCCTTTTGACTAGTGACGTTCTTGTATCTGTGCTTTAAGCGAGCCTGATTTTAAACTTGGGCATTAGAGCACAGAGCTGAGTCTAACTGTACTGATAATGAAACAACTGTATTGTGCTAACTGTACTGTATTGTGCTGGAAAATCATTGCATCGTATCACTTCATATGACAAATATTCCAACAATTTTTTTGCAATAAACCGATCACTGTTCGTTGATCACCCTGGGCAAACGCCACACGTTTTTTTACAGATCGAGCGATTATCCTCTCTGTCGCACATGCCCGCTTCATTGCAGTTGTTCGCTTCATCCAGACATTCAGTTGGCTGTGGCGGTGTGGGTTCTGGCACTGAAAATTGCCGAAATCAGTGCGAAAACTCGTTGATCTTCAGTGGTGATCGTTTTTGAGCGATTCTGATCAGATGAATGCTAGCAAAGCAGTATAGACAATGCAAGAATTTAAGAGTATGATTGTGTTCAGAGTAATAAATGTTTTGTGTTTCTTTTTGCTGAACACGTCTGATCGCATCCCTAAGCGAGCATTACTTGCCGAAATTGTTGCATGAGAAGAGATAATCTGCATTGCGCACTGAGCTAAGCATACATCAATTAATCAAACTTACATTGCGTAAATTAGTGGGCGGATATGGATGCTGAATTTCGAAAAAACAATCGTATTTTTTGTATTTGACTGATTTTAATCGCTTTCAGATTACTGCGCGAACTAACAAACGCTCTAAACCATTGTATAGAACACAATCACTATGCAAACTCCAACAACAGTCGGCCTTACCTGTGTCTGTACAATCATAAAATCGTAAAACTCTTTGGATATCGGCCTCTGAAAGTTTTTCGTATTGTCCAATCTCAACGCCTGTTGTTTTCGGTACCATTGTAGGTTCACGGTTTTTTGAAAACGCCGTAGCCGGGTAGTGCATAATTGAACCGTAATCATACGAAGTTCCCAAGTGATCAATTTCTGTCACAGATCGCTTTTCAAAGTTCTCTGAAATGAGCATTAATCTGCCAACAATAAAGCCTCACACACAAACCTCGCAATAAACAATAATGCGCAAACCGACGTTCGGTTCCTGCTTGTACATTCTCGAAATGAATTGTGATGTAGTCATCTCTGTCAGCTCGATCTGCAACAACCTATTCTGCATGATGCCAGTCAATACGATTCGCAAAATAATCTCAGAACAAATCATATTATGTTATCATATCACTATCGTCGTTTAAAAGTTTCGTTCTCGAAAGCAAAACAAACTCTGTTCATGAAAGAAGCCGAGTGCGTGCAACAATTCGTGCACAATGAGACCGCTATGAACACATCCATATCCAACGCTCAATATTTGCTCACCTTCTGAAATCGCTCATTCTTACTGTTAGAGAAAATCAATCGCTTCCATCCAGTATTCTATTAGGTTGAGTATGTTCACACTCGGTATGGAATGAATGAATGATTCAATTCCTTACCAATTCTGCCAATTGGTGAAAAACATCCGATATGAGGCTTGATATGAACGTAATCCTTGTCATCCTCTGTTTTGTCCACAAATTTTACACAGTTCAATTGGTTGATCATTGCGACCGCTCCAGCTATTTGTTCTCGTCTAATGCAAGTCAATAAAACTCTTTAATAACTATTGCAAACTGTGCTTTATAACTGTCTTTAATAACTACTTATGCTCCATTATAACTCTGATCGTATAGTTTGAATGCGAATAACGAGTTTCAGTAAGCGATTAACAAGTTAAGTTTGAAAAGATGACAGAATGACGAATTTCAAAATGGAGATATTTCATGATAAAGACCAATCGGAACGTCTTGAAAGCGAATGAATTCATTCTGACTTTGAGCAATGGTGAGAACTTTTAAGCATGTCGATTTCTAGCTTTAAGTTCTGGGCTGCTCATGGAAAGCGTTCTGGTGGGTTGCTGGTACTTACCCTCTTTCAGTATAAGTTGACGAGATTACATACGGTACACGGTGATTGGGCCATTTTTTGGCTCTATCTCGAATGGCGTTCATCAAGGAGCTGCCACGAAGCAGCGCTGAATCGTTACGGTGGGCGAACATCTCACCAATAACTTTAGATGATGCGAAATTTGGATCAACTAAATCAATTCTAGTTAATTTTTGATCCATTAATATGGTCAATATTCGTCATTATCACACTGTTTTTATTACTGTCATCACCACAACAAGTGTTACAGTTCATAATTCGAAGTCTTGCTCGAATATATCCATTCTCCAACTACCATAAGAGTGTCATGTTGATAGATTCTTTACTGAGACAAGATGCGAACAAAGAACTGCATCTCTACAGAATTTAATATCTCTTAGAACATGTTAGGACTTCAACTGAATCGCATCAAACCGATATCTCCTTCGTAAAGTCCTGCGTTATACATTTCCGAGTCATCTTTCGGTGGTGCATTTGAAGTGTCGATTCCATGCGCTTTTGCATGCATAAAATCTTTGGCACTCAAGCTGGTTTCCTCTTCGGGTATTGAAGGATCAATGAACTGAATGATAATATGTTCGAGTGAATTGACTGCTTGAATTACGTGAAAAAGCAGTCATCTCAGGAGAGAAAACTTCAGTGGACTTGTAAGGGTGCAGTACAAAATTCCTAATGTGCAAAATTCCTAGTTGAAAAGAATGCCTCGGTTTGTGTGTCAGAACCAATTCGCATTTACAGTTGAAATTCTTGAAAGGTTCAAAAATCGAATTCTTTCAGTAGATAGCTAAATAGCATTGAGGCAAACTTACTGGATCATCTTTAGCCTGGATTTTAGAGGTAGAGAACAGAAGAGACGATAATATAACGACGTATAGCATTTTGGAAATGACGATCTCTCATCAGTGTTGCTCTACTTTTTCGATGTGATCAAGCTTTTTGCTGCTTTTCGCTCGTCAGTATTCAGCTGTATTCAATTCTGATATTTCACAACCAACAATCCAATTGTTTGCTTATTATCACTGAATGCATCCACTATCAATGGATGTTTTGTTTGCCCACATTCAAACGTGTTATTCACTTTATTTCAGTGTACTTATTTAATATTCATTCATACTAACTTCGGATTTACTGGAAACGCAATGAGTAATTGATTTCAAGTGGCGAGTGAATGTTTGCGATAAGCCAATAGTTTGTCATTGATTCCAGTGTACAATTACGCTCTAACCGGGGAACGATGAAGTCATTTGATGAACAGTTCAGCTTATTTGATCAGCTTATCAGAAATTGTTTTTGAATAGTGTAGTAATGCTCTTATTTGAACAATGCAAAGCTGCGTAATTGATGAATACGAGGCAAATATACAGTGAAATGATTCGTGTAATTAATGACATATTTCATTGCACAAATGCTCAGAATAATTCACACACACACACACACGTCATTTCCGCAAAGGAGGTTCCGTGAGAATTTCTAATGAATCATCACTTCTGCTGGTGCACTCGCACAGGTGGGGATTTCTTGAATGAAAGGGATCCCTCATGCGAGCAGGTGATTTGGAACCCCAACGTAGACACTCCCCATCCTACATTTCGGTAGCGATCAGCTCGAATTAACAGCACGTGGTGCTTATTTCAAATATGATTCCAATTAAGAGTCTTCTGGAATTTGCATCGAATTTACGGACCGACGCAGAGATGCGTTTGGGAGTGAACACGGCTCACATTCCCTTGATCTCAACAAGTTTTATGATCGTCTGATTCGCACACTACGAGAACACTTCAGGAAAACTGCGGTTCCAACTCAATTAATTCTCTATCGCAATTCGATAGCACAGTCGCGCTCATTCATACAAAATTTTCCCTATAGAGCAACGAATGCGTTCATATAAGGAATAGGCAAATTGCAATCTTCGAGCTAACCGTCTTCTCAAGTTTGCTCAGTAACATATGAATTTCTTTGCAACCTTCGATCTCTCAGAGCCTCTAGATTCAGAAAAACGCAAAACGCTCCTCAGGAAAGCAAAATCGCTCGGCAAAATAAATGTTATTCTGAATGAAGAGATCCAGCTGGATCGACTGATGCAAAAAAATCCATATGTCACTGGGCAAACTTGAGAAGACAGTAGCCTTGAAAGTGGCACCCGAGATATTATCAATAAAATACCTATATCTCCTCAACACGGCCAAATTGCTCAGTAAAATTTTTAATATTCTGAATCTAGAGGTTCTGCTGGATCTAGTGGTGAAAATAAATTCGCATCTTTCCGGGCAAACCTGAGAAGACGGTTAGCTGGAAGATCGCAATCCGCCTATTGCTAATATGAACGTATTGTTTGTTCTATAGTGATCAATTTGTATGATTGAGCGCGACTGCGCTATCGAATTGAGATAGGTCTAATTAAATGGCTATAGCTCCTCAGGAAAGCAAAATCGCTCGGCAAGATATATATTATTCTGAATGAAGAGATCCAGTTGGATCGACTGATGCAAAAAAATCCATATGTCACTGGGCAAACTTGACAAGACGGTAGCCTTGAAGGTGGCACCCGAGATATTATTAGTAAAATACCTATAGAGCAAACAATACGTTCATATTAGCAATAGGCGGATAGCGATCTTCCAGCTAAC